TTTGAACTCGTTGAGAATATATCATCAACGAAAATGGAGGGGCTTGGCATATGTTAATTTGTGAAGCATTCTATACACCTTATATGGAATATGAAGGGTTGTCAAATGTTGGGCAAGTTGAAGAGTCCCGAACAAAAAAAGCTGTTAAAATTCATTACTTAATAGTATTTAATGTGATAAATTATCTTAAGAGCCGTTTTGTGAATTATGTAATATCCATTGCTTTTCTCTTAATTAAATGCAATGAAGAGAATACAATAATAATTATAATAAGAAAGTAATAAAAAAATTTAATGTAATAAAATGAATGGTTTAATACTTCGTTTAATGCAATAAAAAAAAAATATGAAGAGCCGTTTAAATTTCGTACATACGTTTTTTGTTATTAATAGGTTATTAATTCGGTTCATTTTGAAAGGGCATTGTTTTACATTAATTATTATATATTTTAAATTTAATATTGAATTCTCCGGACCTCTTTTTTACTTTTTATATCAAAGTGACGTTTCAAATATCACTTTTTTAACTCTCTGGAACTCTTTTTTTTATTAATAGCCGGAGAGTATTAATTGAATAGTAATATTTAATTTGAGAGAAATAGCATTAAATTATATAAGTATTATTTTTTTGATTTATTAATTAGTTATAATATAATGAACGGCCAAGATAATTAAAAAATAAGTAGAATGGATGAACAAGATTTGCCCGGGGAAGGAAACTCAAGCCCCTTTTATAATAGTAGTATAGATATTATAAGCTACAAGGCTACAATTGATGTTGCTTTCATTTTTCTTGTAATTTCAAATATTATGCTTTGATTGCTTTCTTAATTTTTATGTATGATTTATAAATTATAATGATGTGTCCCCGCCGTACCCGTATCCTGTATTTTTAAGAATTGACGTGTCCCATATCCGTATCATGTCATATCCGTGCCGTCGTATCCGTATCGGTGTAACATAGATTTGCTCTTTCTTTTTTATCCTTGCATCTGTACAGTCCCATGAAATATTTCAACTCCATCAAGCCAACAAAATCTGAGATATACTAAATCATTTAATTAGGTTATAATTCATCATTTAATCAAGCTTTTGCCATTTTTTTCTATATTTTTCATTTTCAACTTTTTTTTTTCTAAGTAGTGTAGATAAGATAGATCTTTACAATCTTCCAAATTCCCTTTGTTTTCCGCTCTTACATTTTTACAATCCCATGAAATATTTCAAGTCTGTCTTTCTTATAACTTTAAAATACATATTGTCTTTGTAAAGTTAGTTTGCGACAATTTCCTTTTTCTTCTTCCTGACAAATTCTTCAGATGTAGCAGAAATGTTGCATCATTTAACTAGGCAAAGAAATTGCTAGGATAATTGATCATAGTTCATCATTGATCCAAGATTTTTCATACAATCTTCTAACTTGCGATTTGCCATTTTTTGTTTTTCTTTTTCTAATAAGAAATAATCCTTAGTTCAGTTTTTTAGTAGTGTAAATATGAAAGAAAACCTTGACATTTGGATCTGGATGAAGCTGGATATGGTGGATTGGGTAAAAATATCTAATTCCTTCTCAAGGTGAGTGATTTAAGATATTGTGG